GCAGAAGTTCCATGGAAAGGTAGTCTGGTTCTATAGCCGTGGACGCGGGAGGAATCCCGTCTTCATTCAATAGTGCAGCCGGCGAGACGTGATATCCGTAGAGGTCTCTTCGGCATTTCTTGAGACCTCGTCTTCCTTCAGCTGCTTCCAGTATCTCAGCTTGCCTGTGTTTCCTGAGATCTTCCTACAAAGCTGTACTGCAATTGGCGTTGGCTGTCAGTCGCTCGAGATGGGTTGCTTCGAATCTTGCCTCAGAGATCTTCTTCTTTCGAGCGATTCGTTGGTGGTCTACGAAATGCGTTTGAAGCTCTTCTCGGAATCCGCAGGCTCGCAATTCTTTCAGAAGCCGTCGGTAGTCGTGCGTTGGGTCCTCCTTAATGGACCAGTCACAACTTGACATGAGCTCTTCCAGCATGTTACCGTCATAAACGACATTCTTCCTTCTTGCGGTACTGTGGCAGCCTTTTCCAGCTTTCAAGTAGGTTGTACCTTCGCTCGACGAGAAGGCGGTGATTGAGCCACTGCAGAAGGATGGAACTACTGAGACATCGAGCAAGCCACTGCAGAAGGATGGAACTACTGAAACATCGAGCAGAAGGATGGAACTACTGAGACATCAAGTAAGCTCCACCTTTGCGGTAACATGGTCAATTTCCGCATAGTCGTTCCGTTGCGTCATCCCCATGCCCACCGGCGATGTTGCTTCTTCATGAAGATGAAATTTTCATGGAAATTGCGGTGGAGAGAAGCACAACAAAACGGTTGCCTTTTTTTCGTTCTGGAGCTTATATCCAAACTTCCGAAACCTATATTTTTTTTATAGTGGCATCTCGACTTTCGCGTTGAAGTCGCCCACCGCAAATTTGTGAAAGGACTTCTCGTTGCAAACGATCTCCAGATAGAAAGCATCTTCATTAGCTGCTGGTGTTGGAGGGTCGCATTTAATGATGCTGATGGTCTTCTGACAGGTCGTGGTCGTAGGATGCTTAGTCGAAATGATAGGATCTCGCGGAGTCGACAAGATAGATGGGTGGACGACAGAGCCTCCAACCTTTCGTGATAGAACCTTTTCACCACGAATGATGAGGGTCCTATCACCCATTTGTCGCGGTCCTTCTTCCTGGACTTCGTTTCCTGCAAAGCGAAGACGATGTACTTGATATGCTCTGAGTGCTCTGAGAGCGAGGAAGCCGGCATTTGCGGAGACTGTCCCGGCGTTGTAAGGGCATGGCGCAGTCTCCATGGTGTGTCGTCCAGGCAGACGTATCGTTTTTGTCCAATCCGAAAGTCGCCCTGAGAATCTTGACATCGTTCCTGCTACCACCCGGCGCTAGGCGGGATCCGACGTACAGGGTTTCTTCTTCTTCTTGCTGACGGAGTGATTGTATTTTCCCCTACAAGAGCATACTTATTAGGCCAACACTTGATTTCCACGGGGCGATCGCTGACCCGGATGTGAGCGGAGAAAACCCCTAGCGATCAGACGGCGGTGGATCTAGCCTGGCTGGCTCTTAGTTAAGCATTCGGCCGAAACCGGAAAGGGTTTGCAGGTTGAGAGGCCCTGCCAGAGTATACACCCGACTGTACATCGCGGTTCGACACCTAGTGTCACCCTCGCCCACATTGAGGCTGCCGACCATTGTCGGGATTCTTCTTATGTACAAAAGAATGAGGCGGTGGACAACCTAAGTTAGGTTTATGAATACCTAACTTTAGGCAAAGATTGTTGAGCTAAGCTCAGGAAAAAAGACAGGAAAAAAGAAGATAAAGGGTGAGATTTGTCACCCTTGAGAAATTGACGGCTGCCCTTTTTTTGCAAGGACATGCAAAAATCAGTTTTTACTCCTATTGAAAAAACTCCGCAGAATGGATAGTGTTTTCGTTCAGCATGTTTTATAGTACCTTCACAAAAAGTTACAGTACTTAAAGCAACTAT